CGGTGTGAGACCGTGAACTCCCCGTCTTTAAAACCCTCAAGACAAGTACGCAGGGTGTGCTCGCCCATGCCTTCCTTCCCTCTCACATGTGCGCCTCCTAAACTCTTAAGGGTCCCACTTGCAACCAGGGGAATAATGGGCAGCTGCAGTTCGATCCGGCTAACCCCCTGAACCTGTCCCCAACACCCCCTTTTCTCTGACTTCCCTGTGAGCCAAAGCAGCCCAGCCTGGGCTCTCCTGTTGCTTGTTCCCTCCTAAGCCTTTGCTTGTCTCACTGTCCCCAGCTTTAATAAATGGACTCTTAAAATCGCCTGGCCTCATGTTGTGAAATCTTTTCTGCATGAAATCAAGAACCCAACACAAATCAGGCCAGCGGAGGCAGACCCGCTCCGGCCTGGTCCCTTTTCTGGCAACACTGGGACTGGAAGGTCGTATATGTGGCTTTTGCAAGGTCAAGTGGACTGGCTGCTACTGAGGGACACGAGTGTCCAGAGCCCTTCCTCTGCCTGGCCAGGTAGGCAAGAGAACTGATCCAGGGGGCGAAAGGTCAGGCGCTAATGACTCCAAATATGCATAAACTCTCATTGACACTTAGAGGTATTCCAAGCAGAGAGTATGAGGGCAGCACCACTGAGGGCTCTTCAAAGTTCATCTCAGGTCCACAGGACGGAGGAGGGTGGAGAGGTTTTCAGGTAGAGGAGACATGAAGTCATTCCAATCTGTATTTTCAGAGCACCCCCTACCCGGTGGGGATGAGTTAGAACAGTGGTTCTCAACCTTCCTACTGCCGCAACCCTTTAATACAGTTCCTCATGTTGTGGTGACCCCCAATTTCATTGTTACAAATTGAACATAATTAAAGCATAGTGATTAATCACAAAAACAATATGTAATTATATATGTGTTTTCCGATGGTCTTAGGCGACCCCTGTGAAAGGGTCGTTCCACCCCCAAAGGGGTCGCAACCCACAAGTTGAGAACCGCTGAGTTAGAGGGAGCAGGACAGGGACTCGGAGGCTATTACCGCTGGGAGCTGGAGGAGGATGGGCCCAAGTGCTGCCCATCTCTGGCTGGGTCACTGGGTGGTGGGGGACAGAGGTTTGGGAAGGGTTAGATGGAACCAAAGGATGTGCAGTTGTGAATACATTTCTGGGGGAAATGACTCCTCATGGCCCAGGAGAGAGACAGGGCTTGACCTGCGGACAGGAAGCTAAGGGGGAGTGCTCAGCTGCCTGAGGTCAGGAGGCCCTGAACCCCACAGCCATTAGAAGGAAAGGAGCCCTCGGAGATGGAGAAGGAGCAGCCAGCGGGACAGGAAGAGGCAGGAGGGTGCAGTACCCTAAGAGGGATGTCAGCAGGGTCTGGCAAGATGAGGACGGAAAATGTCCTCAAGCCTGAACCC